AGTCTCGTGGTTCGGCTCTGCGGTTATTACCTGCCCTAAGTAGACATAGTCTTTTACAACTTCAAGTGCACTATTACCTATCTCGAAGCGCTGCTCCTTGCCGAGGTTGTTGTACATTACTTTCGTTTTCTGCAGATTAATTTTAAGACCCACCTTTCTGCTCTCCTTGTCTAGCTCCGTAATCATGAGTTGCAATTCGTCCCCCGAGTTACTCAGCAATGCAATGTCATCGGCGAAGCGCAGGTTACTAAGGTATTCTCCATTGACTCTTATCCCTAACTGTTCCCATTCTAGGCTTCTGAAAACCTCCTGTAAGCACGCGGTAAATAGCATTGGGGAAATTGTGTCCCCCTGCCTTACACCCTTCTTGATTGGTATTCTGTTGCTTTCTTTATGAAGCACTATAGGCTTCAGTATAGGCTGCGTCAACCTGTGTGAACTGCTGCCACCTTTGACACCCCAAGTGACTTGCTGCCCCGATAGAGTGTACAACATACCATTATGAGTGTTATCCCTCTATCGGCAATGCCGAAAGTCAAAGAGAAGCCGTCACTCGTGAAGAAGGCGTGGTATTGAGCAGAACGTGTTTCGCATGCATTGCCTGATCCGAAGATTCCACGAATTGAGCACTGTTAATCCGAGAGCTTGGTTGATGAATTGAGTGAGCGTCTATGCACTGAGGAGCCTGGGGAAATAGGTGATTTATGCGATGTGCCGAGCATTCCTGACGATGTACAAGATCCACCGGCAGAGGCAGGAAGTCTTTTTTTACATACAAGCTCACAGCATAACGACTGGGTCGGCCACCATTCTGATGATTCCGCAGTGCCCATCAGAAGCATGGAGACTAGAGTGGTTAGCAGTACTGGCGAAACCGAGGTTAACAATTCCGTCATCGAAGGTTTTCAGAGCTGGGCAGTGTCGCGTTGCATGACGCAGCCTGCTGGTACTTCATTACTTAAACTATTGAAGGAACATCACTGATTCAGTGAACTTCCAACTAAAGCCCGTACCTTGTTGAAACCTCGACTATTAAGTACTGTGGTAGTTGACATGGGTTTGGGAAAGTACTATGATTTTGGCTCATTGAAAGATTTAAAGCAAGCCCTCAAAACACTACGCAGCGTGCCCTCGTCAGTATCATTGTCATCTACATTGATGTCCTTTCAGTGTCAAAAAGCTTACGCACTCAGATTTGGCCTATATTGTGCTTTATAACCAACTGCAAAGAACTAGACCCATTTCCTGTTGGAGTGTTTTCAGGGGACTCAAAGGCGTCAGATTCAAATGAATTTGTGGTCCAGTTTGTGGTTGAGCTTCTGCAATTGACACAAGATGGCATTACCATTAATAGTTAAGAGTACCGTGTCCAGACTCGCCGTTTCGGTTGTGACGCCCCTGCAAGGGCTTTTGTCATGACGACAAAATCGCACACTGGCTACTGTAGTTGGCCACGCTGTGCCGTTGAAGGCAACTACGTAAGTGGCAGAGTCACTCTGCCTTCCGTATCTTCTGCAATGAGAACAGATTTGTCTTTTAAAAGCCAAGCAGATGATCACCATAGCGATGCATCAGTTTTGTGAAGGCTGCCAATTGATTAAGTCAGGGATATTCCCGTTGACTATATGCATTTAGTTTGTTTACGTGTTATACAGAACTTAATCCATCTGTGGCTGTCCGGGCGATTCTCGGCTCACATCGGGCCCACTTCGCTAAAGGAATTGTTCGAGAAGATTGTACAAGCCAGCAAGTATGTACCAGCAGAATTTTCGCGCAAAGGCAAGGTATTAGCAGAACTCTACAGGTGGAAGGCCACTCAGCTCCGCCTTTTTCCAGTATACACAGGACCTGTTGTTCTTCGTACCATGTTTCTAAATGAACTGTACTTGCACTGCGTCACATTCCACTGTGCGATCTCAGTGCTACTCAACAAGAATCTCGGCATACAATAAATATCCTATGTACAGCCCCTCCCCTGAATATTTCGTGAATTGTTTTACTGTACATTATGGCTAGGAGCACCTCTCATTCAATGTGCACTGTCTCCTTCACCTTGATGATTACATCCGATGTTTTGGTGTCGTTGAAAATTTTAGTGTATTTTCGTTTGGAAACTGTCTGCAGCAGATCAAGGAAGAGCTTCGCAAGCCAGGAGCTTTGTTGCAACAGCTGTATTGCAGAATGGCTGAAAAAGCACATGTGAAGGCACAGTCTTGGAGGTGCATTGTTACCAATGACTACACTTTTGGAGGAGCACACAACAGTCGTTTGTTGCCTTCAAGGTGCGGACGACCTGAGTATTCCTGTTTTAAATTGAGTACTTTCTACCTGAGTTGCAATAGCCCAAACAACTGTTGTATCATTTATTCGACAATGCATCCTAGCCTTCAACTTCACCTCTGATGAACACACGTCCTCTCCAGTTGTAATTGGACGTGAATTTGTTGGTCGCTAAATAATGCTGTAAAAGCTGTTGTGCTCCCTTTCAAACACAATCAGTCCGTTGCTCTTCCTTTATTACACATCGAATGTTCGCCCACTGAATTTCGTTAGTGCCCGGCAGAAGCGCAGGTTGAGATAGAGAAAGCTAATATAGTGGCATGCTTGCTTTGGATGTTTTACCGCAAAAGCTGCTATGAAATTACAAGAACTGCCAATTTTAGCGGTGAAGTTGACCGCCACCGACTCTGTCTGTAACCGCTCTTGGGCAAAGTGAGAACTATATGCCCAGGATTGTGCAGGATTTAAAGCCTTCAGCATGGAAGCAAGTACTCTCCTTCAGAGTGATGATTTTGCTTGACGCTTCTTTAAAAGGTGACTCTACACAAAAAGGTAGCAGATATAACAGCGTGGTAGAAGAGTAAAATAATAATCTTAAGTTACACAGTGTGAACGGCATAACAAGTAGGTGGTTCAAAGCTTCCCACTCAGTACAAAGTGATCAGCCGCAGCATCACGAAAATGGACATCATGCCTTACAGGCGTGCTGCACGTGCATCAACTCTCCATAGAGCAGTAAAGATTGGCTTATCGGGCACTTTGCTACTTTACAAAACAAAGATTTGTATAATAATCCTTATGTTGTTACTGTACTTGTAGTAGTTTCCCCAATAAAGTTTTAATCCGCTTTTAAAAGGCGGTTCCTTCAGCTATTACTGTTACTGCTTCATCTTCCACGCAACTTTTTGATAATGCAGTTCTTATTTTCTTCAGAACTAGATTGTACTCTGAATAATTTTTCACTTGCTTTGACATTTCAAAATAGTAACATGTTGCAATGAAAATACGTGTTTGTAAATGTACAGTAGTCCATCTGGAGGATGCCTTCGCATTGCAAATGTACTTTGTATGCATCATCTTGCTCGGCAAGTAAGTGCATCTAAACCACAGTGAGCACAATGCAAGAACATGTTTTTGCAAAAGTTGTCTTATATGAAAACATGCCAAACCCTAATAAAGCGTCGTTATGGCTTCACTTCCTTTCGCTTGGAATTAATTTTATATGCACATGCTCACTACAGCTTGCTCTCCTGAAGAAGCATATGCTACGACTCTGCGATTACATGTACCTCTGTTTCAAGACGGGTGAATGTGAAAAATGTAATTGAAATCTTAAAAGTCTTCTCAATATGAATATTTAGGGATGGACACACCAAGCCATGTTGTTGATTACAGATGCAAAAGTTATTATTTGACTGTAAAACTTACATCCAATGCCACAATGTTTCAGTGGCTGAAGAGCCACTGAATGGAAACGTTTGCGCATGTATGCACTATTGTGAAAAGTTGGTGCACAATTTAATTTAACAAAAATGCAGCCTATTAAAAAGCACCATGTTGTCTGGAAATATACAGGAAAGACTACACGTCATAGTCATCTGTGTGCAGTGTCGTAGCCCGGGGGTAGCTCACGAGGCCTCTGCCTCCTCCCCTCTAAAAAATCCCCCTGAAATTCACCATGGAAATAATACACAAGTCTTCACAACCACTTCTGCCACCCCTCCTTCAGATCAAGAAGGTGCTGCCCCCCCCAACCCCCTGAAAAGAAGTTCTGGCTACGCCCGTCTTCATAAAATATCTCTTCATGGCTTTTTCATGCTTGAACTGAATATAGTGAAACAATGTTCGCACATCATTTATGTATATCCACTTTTTAATATTTGTGTATAGATGTTCACTCAAGATCCACTGAATATCCACAAATAAAATAAGGTATTGAGACAATTTGTAGACATCTTCTAAATATATATGGTTTACTGGAAAGGCATGCACTTGTCGTACTTCTACATGGGGGGGGGGGGGGATGTAAATCTCAGGCCATTCTACTATAAAAATACATTGGATAGTAGCCTGGGGACTACTGACAAGCCTTGTACAACGGTGTAGTGCAGTGAGTAGAGGACCCGGAGCTCATAGTCGTGAACCGAGAGGTCATTCGTTTGACTTCCAGGTATTTGCATAAACAGATTCTTTTCTAATAGTTCATCTCTGTCATTTGTTCGTGTGCTAAAGACGTATGCATGACAAAAATATGTATGTGAAGGTTTGTTGGATCCGGGCATAAAAGAGTTTTGTTCGAACCTTGGTCATCTTGTTCAGCGGCCTGCAGTAATCCAAGCCAGCCGTGAACATATTCTTTTGCTGCCATCTTCTTATGAATCACTTGTATTCGACTGTAGGAATCCAGCTCAATGTGTTTACATTGGTGCTGTAATAGCACAAAAGCAGTAATTACCGTGTCAGATTACCGTATAACCAGCATCGTAAACGATATGCGATTAACAATGCGAGCTTCACAAGACCTTGCGTGGCACCTGAGCTGCGAAAACTTGCAAGAATGAATCCGTGGCGCGTGCAACTCCTCCGTTACGCGCTTTCTCCACTAGGGGAATGTCGAGTGGTGATCTGTGCAATTCACTCTACAGGCCAAAACGCTAATCAATAAACCCACTCCTATTCTATAGTTCGCATAGCTGGTTCTGCGAAGCGTCTACATTCACCTGAGCACTGCGGTGCGCGTTGGCGCGGAGAGGTTCTTGCTGCTCCCGATGGGCGACACCTGCAGCGCCTTGACTAGATCCCTCCAGCGCTGCAGCACCCGGCTGTAGTGAGGTCGCGACTCCGTTTCTTCGGCTTCGTTCCTGCTCACGTCAGCACTGCTCGAATGACGCGAAAGCAAGTCTGGATCCGAGGCGTCCATGAGTGTGATGCTGAAGTCCTTCAGTAGCCGCCGCTCACGAACGCGCACCTTTTTGTTCGGAATCGCTGCATGAACATAACAAGTTCAATATAAACACAATGCAAATTAAGGTTATGAAACTAGAATACAGCAACAAAGCCTCTCGCTGATGTGTACATATGTGTGATGTTCACAGTGATGATCGCACGAATTCAGCATGTGACGAAGTGCTATTTAAGCGAGAGTTCGAAACATCGCGAAAGGAAAGATGTACGGACATTTCTAACATTGGCGCTGCGAGATCGCCAAGCAGGTGGTGTCGTCCTTGGTCTGTCAACACACCGAAGCGTGCGAAGATCCGCATTACTATGGAAGGTTATCATACGATTGCAGTTGCAGCCTGTTTTTTTAAAGAAAATTGTTTTTCTTGGGGACCTTCGACGCAGAAGTTTTAATCTGTCTGTCTGTCTGTCTGTCTGTCTGTCTGTCTGTCTGTCTGTCTGTCTGTCTGTCTGTCTGTCTGTCTGTCTGTCTGTCTGTCTGTCTGTCTGTGCACCTGTCTGTTTGTCCACCCTTAACTGTACCCTAAACGGCACCAAAGTGGCCAAACGATACTCCAAACGGCCAACCCCATCCGCAGCGCCCACCAATATTGCTCAAAATTCAGCATTCATACTTTTGTGATTGTCAACTAAGTATTTATTGTGCATATCTTAGGCACAATAACAACACTTGGATAATCTGTATGTGGGCCTCTTACTGGAAAAGGCATACATAAGTAATTCTAAGGACCATAGCATTTATCACGTTGAGCTGACCATGCAACGCTTGCACTAAAAGAAAGGTGTTTCCAACATTTTGCTAAGACGACACGGTGGTGGCACCTACCCGTCGCCTTGCGTTCTACACCTTATCAACTTCGAGAGGGGCGCGCAGGGTACGCGCGCTTCGTTTTCCAAGATAATTGCCAGATAACGCTCATGTCTCACGTGTTACGTGACTTGATGCGCTCATTCGCCCCCGCTGCACGTTTGAGGCACTCTAACGCAGCGCCTCCAGAATACCATTCACCAATTTTCTTGCGCATAACATCAAATCAACATTTTGTTCACTCTCTCCAGACGCAAGGCTATCGTTTTTCGACGACGATTGCAGTATAACATGCAGACAAGGGGCCAATTTTTTTTTTCGCTTTGGCGAGCTTAATTTCGTCTCAAATGGTGCAGTATAGGCAGAAAATGATTCTGTGAGACGTTTCGAAAGGTGTTTGCCAGTTCGGTGTCAAATATGATGTGTGACGGCGCGAACGTGTCGCAAATGGACGGTGTCGTATGTTCTCGGCAGTCTTTTTGCTCAGAAAAAAATATTTTGAACCTTTCAAGCAGACAAATAAAGTACTGGCACGTTTTGAACTGCCAATTAATTACGTTTCTTGGACCGTAAGATCGAAGTTTTTTTTCACTCGGGGTTCACTTGCACCGTCCCAGCAATTACCACCCGTATATACAGCAATCGTGTGTCAGCGCGCAGTTGCGATTTCTTGGCGATGAGGGCATTTTTTTTGTTTCTCACAAACTGTTGTCTATGTTTTGCTCGACCTTTAATGAACCCTTACTATTCACTCGTTTATTGCCCACTTGAGTTGACGGAACTACAAGTGGTGGTGCTGTCACACAAAAAGCGATGCTGAAGTTTCTAATACCAGTACGCTTCTTTTTCAATTTTGTTTTCTTTTTAAAATTATGGAGTTTCAATAAATTGCGGCGGCGATAAAGTGAAGATAGTTATACTCGGGAACAACTTAGTGTGGCAATGAAGGGAAGGCTACGGAGCCGAAGTGGGCATGTGCCATCGCTGCAGAATATAGTGCCACAAATGCATCCGCCTTTTTCTCCTGATAATAATGAAAAAAACAACAACAATATTATCTTCTACTGTTCATACAGCATAGAGTTCCATACAATATGTGGTCCTATGTGTGCGTGATTTTAAGGGGCCACCTTGTGTGGTCGAAAATACGAAATTGAGATCATTCTTCGAAATATTACTGCGTGTTTCAAATCAGAAGCACGCTTGAAACCTGCTTGTCACCGTTCCGATTCCCACAACTCGCTTCGTTATTTGAAATGAGCGAACTAATGTGTATTCATTCGCAAAATATTTCTAAAACACAATCACTGGTCAAGCGGCCACAAACACGTCGCACGTGTTTCCTCTCCGACAACACAGCACAGTGGGATCCTTGAAGTGGCACAGAGATATGGCTCCCACCGTAGCAGACGACGCGTCATTTTGCTATCCAGGTGTCGCGCCGGTCTTCGCACAAACCACAGCAGTTACCCATGAGCAGCATCTTCGCTTCATACCAAAATATTCAATTATTGCGCAAGCAAGGTTGCTATAAGGAGAGCACTGCACGCGCCGTGATTTGGACCCGAGCTAGGCACTCGTTGAAATTTACCCACCTGCACCCGGCCCAGTGAGAGCCGCGCCCAGCCCAACAATGGGTCCACCGACTCTGACCGCAGTTCGGACCCGAGCTAATAATCTGAATATCGTATCCCAAATATGAAATGGAGAAAAAGCCGTTTTAAGTGGCAAATATGTACGCTTTTTGACGCATGCTACGCTAACAACTGTGATTTATTCTATGATAATTCCTTGTATAAACATTGCTAAAAGAATCGCTTCAACATAAGAATTCAATAAACCAAAGGATCAAGCAGGATTTTGTACAGGCTACACAACAATCAGGTGATAAAGAAATCCTCATATTACATTCAACTCCAATACAATACCTTCATAGATCATGAGAAGGCATATGATTCAATAAAGATATCAGCAGTCAGACATAGCAGAATCGGGGCGTAGACTGAGCACATGTCAACATCCCGTAAGAAATTAAGAGCGCATCAACTGTCACCACAGTGCACCAAAAATAAAACAATGATGATGATGAAAAATAAACTTTATTTTTGTATCCGGCATGTTTGTGGTCTGGGCTAGACCGCACAAGGAGACACCTGGAGACCTTGTCTCTTTACAGCTTCCCTGGCCTGCTGGATAGCCCATATTTGGTCTTGAACCTCCGAGCTGAGCAGCACAAGCCCCCACTGCTCCCAGAAAACCTCAGGAGAACTTGTTGACAAGTTGGGGCATTCCCAAAATATAAGTTTGTAAGACGCCTTTTCTGTTACACATACCTTACATTTATTGTGCGGGTATAAGTGTGGGGAGCTCCTACGGAGGTGCACAGGGTTCGGGTAGCAGTTCGTCTGTAGCTGTCGGTATTCCGATGCTTCTTGCCTGTTTAGACTCGGATGAGGTGCGGGAAAGACGTGCCTTGCTTCTCTGTAGTGTTGCATATATTCTGTGTATCTTGTAAATTGGTATTTGTGTGGTACGTCGGCGGCGCCAGGGAAGATCACCGAGCCATGTGGTCGGGTTGTGCGGCGGGTCAATCCTCGCGACAACTCATGAACCAGCTAGTTAGGATCGAACTAGGGGATCGAATTTCCATTCAATATTACTAAATCAGACAAGGGAAGGGGGAAGGCAGGTCCTAAATAATCTGCAGAAAACTAAAATATTGTACAACGCCGCCATCGTGGATTGAGATTGATGACTATGTCAATAGTATTTTGACACACTGCCCCATCTATATACATACATATTACATAAAGCTTCGAAGGTGCGCTTGTCTATCACCGGCGCAGGAGTTTGACATTGATGGATCGTTTCACTGCCATTTTGCACTAGCGAGACATCTAGGATGCAGGGAGCTTCGGCTGCCCGATTGTTTATTACCAGCGCCGGGGCTCGACATTGATATCGTTTCATTGTCGCGTCGCACTAGCGCCGCATCTATGATGCGGTAAGCTTCAGCGGCCCGCTTGTCTACCACTGGCTCCAGCGTTTGACATTGATGTCGTTTCATAGTAACTTCGCAATAGCGCCACATCTATGATGCAGGGAACTTCAGCGGCCCGCTTGTCTATCACAGGTGCAGGGGTTCGCAGTTGATAGATTGTTTCATTGTCGCTTCACACTGACGCCGCATCTATGATGCCGGGAGCTTCGGCGGCCCGCTTGTCTATCACCGGTGACGGGGTTTCGCCATTGATAGATCGTTTCAAATTCTCTTTGCACAAGCACCGCAACTATGATGCAGGGAGCGTCCATGGCCGGCTTGTCTATCACCAGCGCAGGGGCTGACAATGATGGACCGTTTCATTCCTCTTAGGCACTAGCGCCGCATCTATGATGCAGAGAGCTTCAGCGACCCACTTGCTATCACCAGAACAGTGGCTGACATTGACTGATCGTTTCATTGCCCTTTTGCACTAGCGCCGCATCTATGATGCAGGGACCTTTAGTGGCCCGCTTGCATATCACCAGCGCAGGAGTTTGCCATTGATAGATTGTTTCATTGTATTTCTGCACTAGCACCGCATCTATCATGCAGGGAGCTTCAGCGGCCCGCTTGTCTCTCACCGGCCCAGGGATTCACCATTGATTGATCGTTTCTTTTTGCACTCGCACCGCATCTATGAGTCAGGGAGCGTTGGCGGCCCGCTTGTCTATCACTGGCGCTAGGGTTCATGGACGTCGTTACATTGTCGGTTCACACTAGCGCCACATCTATGATGCAGAGAGATTCGGCGGCCCACTTGTATATCACCGATGCAGGGGTTCACAATAATAGATCGTTTCATTCTATTTTTGCACAAGAACCGCATCTATGATGCAGCGAGCTTAAGTGGTCTGCTTGTCTATCACCGGAGTATGCAGGGGTTCGACATTGATAGATCGTTTCATTGTCCTTTTGCACAAGCACCGCAACTATGTTGCAGGGAGCTTCGGCTGCCCGATTGTTTATTACCAGCGCCGGGGCTCGACATTGATATCGTTTCATTGTCGCGTCGCACTAGCGCCGCATCTATGATGCGGTAAGCTTCAGCGGCCCGCTTGTCTACCACTGGCTCCAGGGTTTGACATTGATGTCGTTTCATAGTAACTTCGCAATAGCGCCACATCTATGATGCAGGGAGCTTCAGCGGCCCGCTTGTCTATCACCGGTGCAGGG